GGGATGGGATGGGATGGGATGGGATGGGATGGGATGGGATGGGATGGGGGGTAAAATGGATAGGGCAGGAGGGGGGTAAGATGGAATTGGGGGCTAAAATGGGTGTAGGTTAAGATGGGATGGGGTGGGAGCAGGGGGATCCCACCCCCCTGCCCAGCAGAGGTGGCAGAACAAACCCGAGCAGCTCCACACAGGGGGAAAAGATGTTTTATTCCATGTTTTATTCCACGTTCCTCCCCCCTTGACGTGTGTCCCGCCCCCACCGGCGCATCCACAGCCACCAGGGAGCTGAAGGGGGGGACACCCCACGGTCCCACACGCCCAAAATCCCCCCTTTGGCACAGAGGGGGGAAAGCAGCAGCTTTGGGGGGATACCCCTGACCCCCCACGGGGCTGGGAGGAGGTCGGAGCTGCACAGGACCCCTCCCCACACCCCAAAGGCACATCTGGGGGGGGCTGAGGGTGTGCAGGGACTGTCCCCACGGGCCAAGGGGGCTGAGAATCCCTCGGCTACCGGTGCCTGTGCTCCAGCAGAGCCTCGAAATCCGGGGAACACACCAGCTTGTGCCTCACGTGGCCCAGGACGATCATCTCGCCCGTCCGGTTGTCCCCGATGCCGACGGACACCAGCTCCTGTCCCAGAGGGGAGAGACACCCCTGAGTGGCCCAGTCCCATGGGAATCCCCTGGGAGAAGGGTGGAGGGGTCTCTGCTGAAGGGGGAAGAGCCTGGAGGTGTCCCCAGGGGGGACCAGCAGGACCCTTCCCCGCTGCTGTCACAGGGAGAGGCAGCACAACCCTCCCCAGGGCACCAAAGGGGGCGCCCCCCATACCTGTAGGAAGGAGCAGGGGGTGCCCCCCATACCTGTAGGAAGGAGCAGGGGGTGCCCCCCATACCTGTAGGAAGGAGCAGGGGGTGCCCCCCATACCTGTAGGAAGGAGCAGGGGGTGCCCCCCATACCTGTAGGAAGGAGCAGGGGGTGCCCCCCATACCTGTAGGAAGGAGCAGGGGGTGCCCCCCATACCTGTAGGAAGGAGCAGGGGGTGCCCCCCATACCTGTAGGAAGGAGCAGGGGGTGCCCATGGTCACGTCCAGGGTCACCTTGCCCAGCACCAGCTGCACCTTCCCCGACTTTCGGATGAGCAGCTTCCCCACCTGCCCCTCGGGGAGGTCGGCCAGGGTGCACGTGTTCTCCGCCTGCTTCGCCTCCTGCCACGGCCACCACGGGAAAGGACAGCGTGGGATACAGGGGAATGGCACCATGGGATGGGGGGCATGTCCCCATGGGATGGGGGGACAGCACGGGATTGGAGGGGAAAGGACAGCATGGGATGGGGGATGGAATGGCACCACGGGATGGAGGAACAGCAGCACAGGAATGGGGGAGAAAGGACACCAGGGAACTGGAGGAGATGACACCATGGGATGGGGAGGATGCCACCATGGGATGGAGGAATACCAGTGTGGGATGAGGGGAAAAGAGCACCATGGGATGGGGGGAGATGACACCACAGGATGGAGTGACATCATTATGGGATGGGGAAGAAAGGACACCACGGGATGAAGGGGGAAAGGATACCAGGGTGGGGATAATGACACCATGGGATGGGAGGGAATCACACCATGGGATGGGAGGGAATCACACCATGGGATGGGAGGGAAGTCACCATGGGATGAAGGAGAATGACACCAATGATTGGAGGGGAAATGACACCTCAGGATGGGGGGGGATAACAACACCATGAGAGGGAAGGACACCACTAAGGGATGGGGGGGCATCCTTATGGGATGGGGGAGAACATCACCACAGGATGGGGGGATGACACCATGGGACTGGGGGGGGGACACATCACCCCCATCCCACCCCTCCCTCGCCGAGCCCCCACCTGGCTCTTCTCCTGCTTCACCACCACCACCTGCCCGTCCTCGTTGTGCAGCTCGGATTTGATGGGTTTGGAGTCGTGGGTGGGGGGCTGCCCGGGCAGGGTGTCGGGCAGCTGCAGGAACAGCAGCTCCTCCTCGGCCTGCAGGCTCAGCCTCTGCAGCAGCTCCGCCACCGGCACATCCCGCGGGAATCCGGGCGGGCCCTTGGGCTGGGACACCTTGGGCTCCTCGTCACACGGCTCCTCTTTCACTGCAGAGAGGGTGGGTGGGCACGGGGGGCAATGGGGGGCTCCCCCAGCCCGTCCCCACTGCGTGTCCCCCCAGTCCCAGCCCACCTTTCACTGCTGGTGGGTCCAGCTCCATCTTCTCCTCCTTGGATCCCGGGAGCCACGGCTGGGGGTCCTCCTGCTCTGCCCCCTCCTCCTTGAAGAGCCACCCCGAGTGGGCCAGCGGGAGCTGCACCGGCTTGTTCCTGATGTCGTTCTTCAGCCCCGGGTCGTCCAGGAACTGCGGGAATGGCAGTGGGGACACTCAGTGCCAGCCTGGGGGGGCACCACGGCCGCCCCCTCCGCGCCCACGCACGTCGTCCTTCTGCAGCATCCGCAGGATCTGCTTCGTCTCCTCGTCCGTCTCCCTCTTCTCCTTCTTGATGTTGATGATGTGGGAAGGACCGAAGTCGGACACATCCACGGCCTTGTCCCAGGAGCCTGCTGGGAGAGGGGAGCAGCCCTGGGTGACCCCCTGGCACACCCCCAGGCCCCCCAAAGGAGCGGGGGCAGCTCCCCTTACCCTTCTTCTTCATCATCTCAGCAGGTCCCTGCTCGAAGATGGAGTGGGACTGGATGACCTCGGGTCGGCCCCGGCCCCGGCCGTGCCCGTCCCGCTGCCGGTCCCGCTCCTTCTTCTCCTTCTTGACAGAAACATCCTCCCGGGGCCTGTGGAGCGGGGAGGGAGCACATCACCCCCATCCCTGCCCCCGCACCCCGTCCCAGGGCATGGCTTTTTATTTTGGGAGGGCCCTCTGGAGGTCACCCAGCACAACCCCCCTGGCCAGGTGACACAGGGACACGTCCAGGTGGGTTTGGGATGTCTCCAGAGAGGGGAGACTCCACACCCTCCCTGGGCAGCTCCACGGAGAGAAGTTCTGCCTCCTGTTGAGGTGGAACTTGTGGTGGTTCAGTTTATGGGCATCCCTCCTTGTCCTGTCACTGGGAAGAGTCTGGGACCATCCTCTGACAATCCTTGGAGATACTGATATGGACTGATGGGATCCCCCCTCTCAGATGAGACATTTGTATGGATATTTGTATGGATATCTGACATGTTTGTACGGATATCTGTGATATTTGTATGGATATCTGAGATACTTCTACGGATCAATGAGATCCCTGCTCAGATCAGATATTTATATGGATATCTGTGATACTCATATGGACCGATGGGATCCCCTCTTGGATGAGATATTCCTATGGATACTTGAGATATTTCTATGGATTGATGGCATCCCCTCTCTCTCCAATGAGATATCTCCATGGATATTTGCATGGATTGATGAGATATTTCTATGGATATTTGTATGGATATTAGAGATATTCCTATGGATATTTGCACGGATTTATGAGATATTTCTATGGATATTAGAGATATTTCTATGGATATTTGTATGGATATTAGAGATATTCCTATGGATATTTGCACGGATTTATGAGATATTTCTATGGATATTTGATATTTCTACAGATTGACAAGATCCCCTCTCACTTCCCTCTCCAGACTAACCAGGCCCAGCTCCCACAGTCTCTCATCAGGGAGATGCTCCAGACCCTAAACCACCCTTGTGCCCCCCGTTTTGCCCAGGGGTGGACCCCCCCCCCAATCCACCCCCATTGTCCCCAAAAACGCTTCCCGGACCACTCACTCCTCCTTGATCTTCCTGCTGATTATGTTGGGGGTGAAGGTTTTCTGCAGGAGAGAGCAGAGGGAGGGACAAGTCACACAAAACAGCTCCCCCTGCACCCCAAATCCCCCCCCCAGGGGTCCCCAAACCACCCCCCCAGGGGTCCCCAAGCCCTTTGTCGGGGAAGGGCACAAAGTGAGACCCCGATTTGGGGAGGGGTGTGGGGGGGACTCACCTTCTTGACACCCCCCAGGGTGAGGTCCCGGGAGCGGATGGAGGGCAGGCGGCCCGGGGTGAGGGGGGAGGCAGCAGGACGTCTGCCCAGCACCCCCCGAGCCCCCGGGACCCCCGAGACCCCCGGGCGGAGGCTGCCGGGGGAGCCGGAGCTGCCAGAGCTCCCCTCGGCCATCCTGTGGGGAAGGGGCACGGTCAGGGGGGGTCAGACCACCCTCCTGCATCCCTTTCAGGAGGGGAGGGGGGTCCTGCACCCCTAAACGGGGCTTAATTATATCCCCCACCCCAACAATGTGCCCTCCCCTCCTCCCCAGGACCCCTTTCCCAAAGGGCTCAGCCCCCCCATACACCCCCAGACAGGGCCCATTTGTAGCCCCCTCCCCAGGAGGGAGTCGTTTGCCCCCTGCACCCCCCAGGACCCACTTGTAACCCCCTCCCCAGCTGTCTCACCACCCCACTGCCCCCGGACCCCCCAAACAAGCCCCACTCGTCCCCCCTCCCCAGGGGTCTCAGGACCCCAAAATCCACTCGCACCTCCCTCCCCAGGGGTCTCAGACCCCCAAAATCAGCTCGCAGCCCCCTCCCCAGGGGTCTCAGACCCCCAAAATTAGTTCGCACCCCCCTCCCCGGGAGTCTCAGACCCCCAAAATTAGTTCGC